TAAAAATAAAAAGAAATTTTAAAAATAAAATAATTATATTACACTCTTTTTAATTTGAAATTATAAACAATATTTGGAATAATAAATGTATCTAAGTATAAATTTTATAACTAATGAACACAAACAAAATTGATGTTAATAAAACATTACTTATTATCTGCACAAAACCGGACTTTCAGGAAAAATCGGTAGACGAAGCAACACTGTCGGCGTGCTATATACGCTACTATAAACCGCTGAGGAGAAGTATAACCCGACAAGCGAGAGCTGGCGGGTTGCGTGTAGAACAAATTGAAAAGTGGAAGGGATTGCTCATTTCTATTGCAGTCGGCTAGGAGTTTACATCGTGTATAACCGTTTAAGTACCTATACTATATACCTTTAATCGCGATTAAGTACCTCTCCTATCTCTCTTAGTATAATTCCTTTTCTATTTTCGCGCAGCTCACCCGCCAGCTCTCGCTTGTCGGATTATAATCCAGTGGAATAAATAAATTAGTTGTAAAACATCGCGACGTTATAAAGAAATTTACACTGGTTAATTGCAACGCAGAGAATCTTAGTATTTGTAAAAAATCCTATGTTCGGGATTTAAAATTCCAAATGTGTATAGCATGGACGTATAAACACAGAACGTCCATGGTGTATAGTAACTGCCAAACGTTATACCGATATACATACTATATAAAAATGAATCACTAATACATACCCAACGTATATACAACATATATACAAAAGCAAAAACAGCTGGAGCCTCGCGCTCGCCGCGCGGAGAGAAACCGGTTTTCATACGCGCGTAGATGACGTTAATAAAATAACTATAACTTCTATTCTAGTGGGAATTTTTTTTTTTTAATTTTAGGAGGGAGTTTTTGAATGTAAATGGAAGCAATTTATATATAAAAAAAAAATAAAATTGATTTTTTAAAAGTTTCGCATGAGACTGTCCCCTTAATTTAGTTTGTAATTCTTATTCTGTATAGCTTTGCATTCTTGAGTAGGCCATTCCTCGAAGCTTCTTGAAGAAGTGTGGTAGATTCGTATACTGTTATTTTAAGTTCTTTTCATTTTTAGGAAATTAGGTTTTAATTTTTATGTATTTCTTCTCTATACAGATTCCAGTCAATCTTTTATTTTTGCAGTTTTGCTGGACATTCCTTCTCAATAAATCTTGAAAATTTAGCCTCAATATTATTGGGTTATGCTCTTCTTTTATGCTTGGGTGGGTATCGTCACTAGGGGCATAAACTCCTACTATCTCTATTTCTTTTATTTCTTCTTCTTCTTCTTCTACTCTTTGTTGATCTTTCGATCTGTTTAATTCTGAAGCTGCCTCTGGTAATTTCTTGGGAGGTAGATTGCCAACTATCCCTCCATCTTTTAGGTGGTCTTCCGGGTGGTCTTGAACCGGGCGGATTGTTTTCTAGAGCAATTTTTGGGAGTCTATTCTCATCCATTCGTCTTACATGGTTGTACCACATCCTCTTGCGCTGCCTTCCCATCTTACAATATCTTGAATTTTGCACTGCTCTCTAATGTTTGTATTTCTCACTCTGTCTCTTCTTGTTTTCCCCATTATTGTTCTTAGGGTTTTCATTTCGGCAACCCTTAGCATCTGTTTCGTTTTGTCGGTATCTTCGCGCACTTCTATGCCATATGTCATGATCGGTCGTACGCAAGTCTTGTAGATTCTAATTCTACTATCTTCAGATATCCTGACAATGCGGATACTTTATTGATCTGACTCCTTAGGTCCTTTACTGGGTCGTGTGTGCTTGATATATCTATGCCCAGATATCTGAATTGCATCCACTATTCTATGGGGTTGTCCTCAACGACTAACTTACATCTGAGCGGATCTTTTGCTATTGTCATACATTTAGTTTTGTTGGTAGAGATGTTCATATTGAGTAGTCGGCTTGTTTGAAAGAACTGAAAGAGCTGCCTTTGGAGATCATCTTCTGATTCGGCAATAATTGCTGCATCGTCTGCGTAACACACCATACCAATTCTTTTGTTGCCCATTCTATATCCGAGATTAAGAGATGTTACTTTGTTAATAATTTTGCCCATGAGAAGATTAAACAAGAAAAGGCTTAAACTGTCGCCTTGTCTAATTCCTCCCGGTGTTGGAATATTTTCAGTGAATTCGTCTCCTGCTCTAACTTTGGTTACGTTGTTTTATTTCTAGTAACATTATTTCTCCATCTATCTTTTTTCAGCTTTTAATACTGTTGTCATACTTTTTATGCATGTATAGAACTTTCTTTTTTGTTCTAGAACTTACAGTTACTCTTATATATACTTCACTATAGAAATGGATACCTATATGCCCTTCTTTCTTTGTTTTCGTTTTCTTTTTTTCTGTAATGATACATACATTTACCTTATTATTCTTAAGTTCTTTATATACTTGTATGTCTTTTTGGTCGAGACTTTTGATCGACAAGACATATTACCATGTGGTTTTTGCGAAAAATGAGTGGCTAGCAAATTATTTCAACCCTCCTCCTTTACCCGGCATTGGGATCGGCAACATCACCCTAAGCTACTTAGTCCACTCAATACTACTGCAGTTGAAGATAAAACATTTATACAAACAAAAAAGTTATTAAAATTCCACGAGGAAACTAAGTTCCTGTAGCTGGCTGTATACCATATATCACAAAAAATTTTTGTTAAAATCATTTATAAAAGGTATATAAAAATGCCTCAAACGGGCTATCACAAACACATTGCAAAACGTTTTTGGATTAAACAATCCATCATCAGTGCAAACCTGAAAGTATATAACCACTTTAATTAAAAAGAACGTTAAATGAAAATGTTGACAAAGGTTAGAGCAAAATGTGGTTAATACTTACGGTTGTTCATGCTAGTAGCCACCAAAATATATGGGTAAAAACCCTTTAAATGTTATAAATTTGAAATTGTTTTACATTATTAGTATTTCTAATTTGTGATGGTTAAGTTACCGTTGGATAGGTAACATGGCGGCGTATGACTCTACATGAGTAAAATGGTCCTGAGACGAAGTGTCTACGAGGACCTGTTGATAACAACTGATCAGAATGACATTGTTGACAAGTTAGGACGGATGTTGTGTCAGAGCAGTCAGTGTAACTTACGGTAGTTGTCTAAAATTGACAGATGTCAGCCTTATTTAAAATTAAAAAAAAAGTTAAACTTATAATAATGTAACAGTATCAACCATCAATATTGTAATCTGTATTGTAAATTAATCAGATAGGTATATTTGTAACATTGAAAATTGGTTTTTTAAAAATTAATGTAGGTCAACTAGAATTTATGAAATTTTGTAGGATTGATAGGCAACCAACTATACATGTGTAAGGATATATTTATTATAAGCTAGAGATTTTGTCAAAAGGCCCTGTATGTTGTGATACATTTGGTACCTAGAAAATGGTAAAAAGGCACATGTGGGAAGATGGGTCCTAAAAGATATATTATTGAGTATTGATGGAATGGGTGGAGGTGTGTTTAGATATGTTATTGAGCTGAAATGTAAATATGACAAGAATGTGATCATAATATGGTGTTCATGTAGTACTCAACTTAAAACTTAAGTATGGAAGGCCCTTTATGTCAAAAAACTACATTTGGTACCTAGTAAAGATAAATAAAAATAGATTTTTAAGTTATAAGTAAGTGAACATGAATTACTGGTTATGTGTGTAAAGTAAAGATGGTAGGTTGTTTATGTGTGTGGGCAAGTATGCCAGACTGAAAGAAAATTGATGGCTGAAAGATGGTTAGGTGTGATATTGTTCCTACATTGCTTGAGTTATAACTCAAGAAAACAAAAGGCCCTATATGTTAAAAGGAACATTTGGTACCTAAGAAATATAAAAGTGAAAAGGATGAGTTATAAGTTAGAGTGTAGGTAGGTGAAAAGTTAACAGGCTTATGGAGTGTATTGTGACAATATGTGGAAATGTAAGAATAATTGTGTTTAAGGTGGATCTGTCAAGTTTACTAAAGATGTGTGATGTTTAAATGTTATTGTGAAGATGAATGGGAAAACTACAAAAGACTGAACACCACAGAGACCCGAAAACCAAACCCTGAGGGAAATTGGATGAGTGAAAAGAAGTTATAAATGATAATGAAAAACGCAGTATGAAAAGGTGAAGAAATGTGATTGAGTGGGTGATGATGTATATTAATGAAAATTGTTTTTGGAGAGAATGTGGCATGAACTGCTCTGAAATTATTTTGTTGGGAAGGAGCATGGAGAATATTGGGTATTAGGTCAGATTTGACGTTTGGATGCCTAGACAGAAGTGAGGAAAGAAGAGAAAGAAGTGAGGAGTTGGATGTATTGAACAAAGTTTGAGGGGGCTAAGGATGATTAGTAGGTGATAAGAGAAGGATGAGAATTTAAATAATAATAAAGAAGTAAGTTTGATAATGAGTTATGAGAATAATTGACGGTGGAGCGGAAGAAAGTCTCGATTAAATGAAACATGGCGATTGACACAATTTGGACTTCTCTGTTTTTCTTTAATGATTTCTAGGTCTTCATATAGGACCCTATATGACACTTGTTACCTATCCAACGGTAACTTAACCATCACAAATTAGAAATACTAATAATGTAAAACAATTTCAAATTTATAACATTTAAAGGGTTTTTACCCATATATTTTGGTGGCTACTAGCATGTATAACCGTAAGTATTAACCACATTTTGCTCTAACCTTTGTCAACATTTTCATTTAACGTTCTTTTTAATTAAAGTGGTTATATACTTTCAGGTTTGCACTGATGATGGATTGTTTAATCCGAAAACGTTTTGCAATGTGTTTGTGATAGCCCGTTTGAGGCATTTTTATATACCTTTTATAAAAGATTTTAACAAAATTTTTTTTTTAAAAGTTATTACTAAAAAAAAAACACTCATTTAAATAGTTTTTTTTTTATATTAGGATTGCGTTAATAATACATATTTAATTGCATACTTTTATTAATTTCAGATGCTTTTAACTTCGTCGTGGATCGTAGACACCATACTCTTGACAGCAACAATATGCTTGCTGGTATATAAATATCTCACAAGGCATTTTGACTATTGGAGAAAAAGAAAAGTTGCCCATGAGAAACCCATGCTACTTTTTGGCAACTTCTACGAAGTTTTCACTTTTAAAACAACTATTCAAGAACACATAAAAAAGATTTACGATCGAATAGATGCTCCATATTTTGGAATTTTTATTTTTGATGAACCATTGTTAGTTTTAAAAGATCCTAAGCTTGTTAAAGATGTTCTAATTAAAGATGCTGCTGTTTTTGCCAACAGAAGACCAGCGACGCCTACACATCCTCTCATGAAACACGCATTATTCTTTCTGAACTATCCTCACTGGAAATCACTAAGAACAAAAATTACACCAGTTTTTACTTCTGCTATGTTAAAAAATGCACACAATAATTATTTAACTGAAATCGGTCAATCAATGACGAAATTTTTGAACAAAAATAAAGATGTTATAGATAGCAGACGTGTTGGAGAACTCTTCGCATCAGAAATGATTTTTAAATATTTTTTTGGAGCTGACGCTAATTGTTTCGAAGATAAACCATCTGTATTTGGACCATATGTGGAAAAGATGGGTGAATTTAGTATTAGAAATGCTATTATACAAAACCTCTACTTTATCAAACCATCATGGGTAACGTTCTTTAAGCTCGATTTCATCTCAGAAAGTATAATGACATTTTTTGAAGGTGTATTTAGACAAGGAATGGAAAACAGAAAGAACTTTGATGGCAAACCACAGACTTTTGTCGATTTTGCAAATAAAGCTGTGAGAGAAAATCAAAGTGGAAAGGAGGATGTTCTGGGTAAGTTTTAACTCTAATTATTACATTCGAGATAGGAAAAGAAGGTATTTTGTAACTAATAATAATACATTTATATGCTTATATATATCGCTTATCGCTATATTATAAACGCTTTAAAGATATCACTTATCTCATTATTTAATGAATTGTTGGTTGAATATGATGATGTTAAGGCAACTATTTATAATAGACTGTCCTCACATGAGCTCAAATCTCCAATTTATAATCTCACAAATAATTCATACCTCAGCACAAAGGTTATTACTTATATCATACTAACAAAAACTTTGAACTATTAGCTTACATTGCAATTTAATCTGGGCCGTAATTGTAACATTTAGGAAGTTCAATTAGAAAATATATTAATTGGTTATTTATTTAGTTGTAGGCAAATGAACTAATTATTAAAGTATTATACGATATGTTTTCACAATGTTTCAATTATACACGGTAAAACTATTAACTATTAAGAAGTTAAGACTAATGTGGGATTACAAATTAAGGGATTAATTTGGGATCGAACAGTGGGGTCTTCACGCTTGCCCCCCAATCGTCATCTTGGAAAAAGGGTGCAATGAGATTTCACGCTATATCTCGTAAACTAGAAATTCTACAGAAAATTGTATAGACATTGTTTGTAGCAAATTAAATTGTCTACAACATTATTTGTATTACTTTTAATCGTAAAATGGAAAAAACCAAGTTATAAACAAAAACAACTAAAAATCTTTGATAACATTTTATTTGGACCTTCTAACTTTTTTCTAATCCTTTTAGAATCAAATAACATTGAAGCAATATGATAAAGCACTTTTCGAAGAATAGTTTTCACTACAAATTTATTTAATTTAATAAATTTTTCTGAATTTTACAGAGCTTCAAAGTTGCCCGGGTTCTTATATACTCGCCATTTTGGAATAAGATGGCCAGTATTTATAAACTAGTAACCCTAGAAACAATTTGTATTATGATCTGAAAAGATTTGTGGTTGTTTTGTTAAATCACGTACGTACATTTTTCAGCCAGGAAATCCTTTGCCGTCCTGGTCCTCGTTTTCCTTCTACTTTTCCGTGTAAAATTAATTGCAGCAACCCATATCTTTCGCTGTTCCTCATGATGTGACCGAGATATTTGATTTTTTGTGTTTTTATTGTGGTTAGCAACTCGTTTCTTTTTTGCATACTTAATAAAACTTCCTGGTTAGTAACGTGGAATTGAATGAAAAAAATGAAGCAAAAAATTGATAATAACATAGAAATATTAAAAAAGTGATAAATTGATTCAGAATGTTATAAATAAAGAAATATATACTAAAAAACTAAGTGTAATTTTACGGTATTGCTTTCTTACGAGTAATCAAGGTCACTGTTTTACTACACCTTTAGAATCTACATTGGGTCTGATCACAATCACATAGTAGCTGGTAAACCAATTAAAATTAAAAAAAGTGATCAAAAAGAAGTCTCGCAAAAATATTTATACAGCCCAGTTACAAACGGCTGGTATCTTCAATAAGAAACAAACTGAAGTGCTACAGGATGAACATAGTAAAGTAATATTTGAAGTAGAGGACAAACTTAAAGAATGGGAAAATTATGTCACGAACCTATTCGAAGACGATAGGAGTAGTTCCAAATACAGAAATTCCAAATACAGAAATGGCGAATACTAAAACGAAACGGAACGGTCCCCAGGTGGGTGGAGTATGTTATGCCAAATCCCACACCCAGAAAAGGGTCTGCCTCGTGGAATATGGGGGAGGCAAGAATTCGCTTAGTACACACAGAATGCACATCGGAACATATAATATCAGAACGATGAGGACAGAAGATAACCTAGAAGAGTTGCAAAAAGAACTTAAGACCATCAAATGGGACATAGTAGGCCTATACGAGACAAGGCTTAAAGGCGAAGAATCGACTCTACTAAAATCAGGGCACACTTTGTACCAATACAATTCAGGAAATAACCAAGGTATAGGAGGCGTAGGCTTTTTAGTACATAAGAGAATTGAAAACATGGTAACCAAATTTCAAACAATTTCTAATAGAGTTATCTATATGGTAATAAAACTAAATCGTAGATACAGCATTCAAATTATTCACTGTTATGCACCAACTTCTTCTGCAGATGATGAAGAGGTAGAACAACTTTATGAAGACATTACAAGAGCCAGAAACCTAGAGAAAACATATTACGTAATAATTACGGGAGATTTCAACGCTAAAATAGGAAAGAACGAAAATAACAACGACAACGAATATATTGGAAATTTTGGACTGGGAAGTAGAAATCACAGGGGAGATATGCTCGTAAATTTCCTCAGCAAAGAAAAACTATTCTGCTTAAATACCTTCTACAAGAAAAAGATGCAGAGAAAATGGACGTGGTTAAGCCCAGATGGCAAAGTAAAAAAATGAAATTGACTTTATACTCTCTAACTTCAAAAACATTGCTAAAGATCTTACTGTACTAAATTCTTTCAACACTGGTAGTGATCATCGATTAGTTAGGACGCGAATAGAAATAAATACGAAATTAGATAGAAGAAAATTATTAACACAGGATAAATTGCCAAACATAGAAGCACTCGAAATGAATCAAGAGGAATATCAAAGTGAACTAAAAAAGAAACTAGGACCTCTACCAGTATTCAACACGAAAGATATAAATGAAATAACACAAAAATTAACAAACGACATAACATCAACTGCAAAAAAGATCTGATAAAAATAAAAATCCCAGAAAAACGAAACTGAAACAAACAACACTTAATTTAATGGAAGAAACAAGAAGAACATCGAAAGAATTACCAGAGTATAAAGCTATCAACAATAAAGTTAAAAAGAGCATAAGGTCAGACTTGTGGGCTTATAAAACAAAACAAATATTGCAAACCATCGAAAACAATAGAAACATGAGAGTATTGAAATCAAATTTAACTAAAGGAAAATCAAATATAACTAAAATCAAAAATCAAGAGGCGAATACGGTGACCGAAAAAACTTAAATAATCAAGGAAATACAAACGTTCTATAAGAATCTTTATACATCTACTATACAGAACCCCGAAACAGACCACAGAACAATTCTAAACGTCGGCTCGAAAACCCTCCCTAAAATAACCTCTTCGGAAATTAGACATGCCTTACAGCAAATGAAAAACAAAAAAGCTCCCGGCGAGGATCGTATAACGTTTGAAATGTTAAAAATGGGCGGCAACATCGTTGTAGAAGTTGTGGAAGTCTTACTGAATAAGTGTCTAACAGAAAAAAGAATACCCAGCATATGGGAAAAACGCCGAAATAATACTTTTACACAAGAAAGGAGACACTACTAATATTGAAAACTACAGACCTATAAGTTTGTTGTCACACTTATACAAATTGTTAACAAGAATAATAACCAACCGCATAACACAAAAACTTGATTTATATCAACCGGTTGAACAGGCGGGATTTAGAAAAGGGTTTGGTGCTAATGCTCACTTACAAACCATCAGAACACTAGTAGAAAAAACCACAGAATATAATGTACCTTTACATATGGCATTTATCGACTTTCACAAGGCTTTCGATAGTATTGAAATTAGACTTGGTCCTTTTTGTCAGCCCTGAAGGATGCTCGAATAGACTCACGGTACACTACACTCATTAAAAACATTTATGAACAGGCCACATTCCACATCAAAATCAATGAAGACGAAAAAACTGAAAAAATGCGCCTTGATAAAGGTATTAGACAAGGTGATACTATTTCACCAATGCTGTTTACCTTAGCATTGGAAAATGTATTCAAACAGCTTGACTGGGAGGAAAAAGGTCTAAACATTGATGGTGTACGTTTGAGTCATTTGAGGTTTGCGGATGACATAGTATTATTTAGTACAGATATCAAGGAACTGGAGCACATGTTGAAGGAATTAAACCAGCAGTCAAATAAAATAGGTCTCAAAATGAACCTTCAGAAAACAAAAATAATGAGTAATTTACAAACTAATCTTGTTATCGACAACGTCAGTCTTGAAAATGTAGACCACTATATATATCTTGGACATACCATTAAAATCGGCAAAGAAAATCAAATAGCCGAAATAAAAAGACGTATACAACTGTCTTGGGGAGCTTTCGGCAAATTAAGCTTTATTTTGAAGAATAAAGATATACCAATGTGTCTAAAACGTAGAGTTTATGACAAATGTATCTTGCCTGTAACTACATATGGACTGGAGACCATGGCCTTCACAAAGAAAACCTTAGAGCAGCTCAGTACAACCCAAAGAGCAATGGAGAGGGCCATGCTAGGGATTAGTTTGAGAGACAGGATTCGAAATACCGTCATTCGTGAAAGAACAAAAATTACTGATGTCTCAGAACGTATTGCAAGGTTCAAGTGGCAATGGGTCGGACACGTTGCCCGAGATAATCCCGAAAAATGGACACAAAGAATAACAAACTGGAGACCAAGAGAGAACAGGCGAGGAGTAGGCAGACCGCAGAAGAGGTGAACAGACGATATCAAACAAGTCGTGGGCAAGCAGTGGATGAGAATTGCCAGAAGTAGAAATCGATGGAAGCAAATGAAAGAGGCCTATGTCCAGCAGTACTCGAACACAGGCTGAAGAAGAAGAAGAAGGAGTAGTTCACCTCCTGATATTACTAACTGTACAACATACATTCATCAAGAGATGTCAGAGAAAGCATCAAGACTGGTCTTGATGGAATTCCAACTGAAATATACAAGCTTATAAATAATAGCAATGTTTTAGAGGTTATAACTTGGTTTTCCAATACCATTTATACCAGTGGACAACTACCTAAGGGTTGCTCTAATTCACTTTTTATAGCTCTACCTAATAGTAAAGCAGCAACAACCTGTGCTGATTATAGAACCATCAGTTTGTTAAACAACTTATTGAAAATTTTTCTGAAGGTAATTCATGGTCGTATCTACAATAAAAAGAGGCCCTGTTTGGAATGAACGTACTTGCTCAAAGATGTCGAGGTATATCTGCAGACATTGACTGTTCTTTTATTGACTTTCAAAAGGCATTTAATCGTGTTAAGTACTCTATATTGACCGAAGCTCTAAAATACATTGGCTTGGACAGCAAAGGTGTTCGACCAATTACAAATTTATATTAGCTTCTCAGGCTCTCAATATTAAAAGAAAAGTACGACAGGAATACCTCTTGTCACACCTGCTTTTTAACGTTTACTCGGAAAGAATTTTCAGAAAAGCACTTTCTGAAAAAAATAAGAAATACTTGTGAACGTTGAAGTCATCAATAATTTGCGATATGCGGACGATACAGTACTCCTAGCTTCTAGTCAAGATCTGAAAACACTATTTGATAGTGTCATTAAGACTTGTAGGGAGGCAGGTCTGGATCTGAACATACGGAAAACCAAAATACTCGTAATAAGTAAACAACAGCATATAAAACCGTCTATATATGTAAATAATACCAAAGTTAAGCAAGAGGTATTATAGCAAGAGATTTTAGATACCTAAAATTGCGATTGAGGATCTTCCTAATTTGCTGCTACGTGTTCTCGGTCTTACTTTATAGTGTCGAGTCCTGGACTGTGAATAAAATCGATCTAAATCGCCTTAAGGCTTTCGAAATGTATTGCTATAGAAGAATTTTAAAAGTTTCCTGGGCTGAGCAGATTCGAAACTTCACAATACTAGAACGTCTCAGCAAGACTACTAAGATCATAAAAAGTATCAAGCAGACAAAGCTGGAGTATTTTGGACATGTAATGAGAGGTTCCAAATATAGGTTGCTACAAAATATAATGCTAAAAAAAAAAGAGCAGGCAAACGCAGTCCAGGACGAAGAAGAACCTCATGGTTGAAGAACTTGCGCGATTGGTATGGTGTTGATACGAGCATACTATTTAGGGAGGCAGTGAATAAAATTAAGATAGCTATGATGGTAACTAACGTTCTGAAAAGACATGGTGCATGAAGAAGAAGTTTTACTACAAATTAAATAAATTGATAGTAGAAATTGTTCTTTAAAAAACCTACTATATTATTACTTTAATGTTATTTTATTGTAAAAAGCCCAAAAGGAAATTTGTTCTAACATTTTTAGTTGTTTTTGTTCATAACTTTTTTATTTTCTATTTAACAATAAAAAATAAAGTAAATAAAGTTGTAGGCCATTTTAATTTGCTAAAAATAATTTTTTTGTAGGACTGCTAGTTTACGAGATACAGCGCGAAAACCCTTTGCCCCTTTTCTTCCAAGATAGCGGCCGGGAGAAAAGGTTGGCAACCCCACAATTATGAACTGAAACTTACACCTAATCCTCCCAACAAATCAAAAAGCTAAAAAATAAAATTGCATTCTATACGAAATGCACGCTAAGTCCTAAAAATGTAACATTTTATTGGACAATTTTTATATTCAATGCTATTAAATTTTGACCCAATTTTACAAATAATTAGTAATCATTTTTCTTTCGTTTTGTTAGATTTCGACATGTCCATCTCGACTGCAATATTCTTCCTCATAGCTGGCAGAGACACCTTGAATACACTAATTGCTTTTACACTGTATGAAATTGCTATGAATGAGAGTATACAAGATAAACTCAGAGAATCCATCAAAGAAAATGTAGAGAAGTACGAAGGCATTACCTACGAGGGAGTACACGACAACAAATATTTAAACATGTGCATTAACGGTAATATGTTTTTTTTAATATTAACATTATTATTTATTATTCCGAGTGAGTGAGTTAGGTGAGTGAAAGAGGTGCGTGAGTGAGGTAATTAAGTGCGGTGAGTGAGGTTGGTAAGTGATGTGAGTGAGTGAGGTGATTGTTTAAGGTAAGTAAGTTAATTGAGTGAGTGAGGTGAATGAGTTAGTGACTAATGTGAGTAAGGGAAGTGAGTGAGCTAGGTAAGTGAGTGAGATGAGTGAGTGAGGTAAGTGAGCACTCACATAAAAATTGGTATAAGTACAGTGTCAAGTTCTACTAATTATGCATTCCCGGTGGATAACAATTGAATTACTCGAACGGATCAAATGGCTGCAGGTACAAGAAAAAAAGTTTGTCGAAACTAGAAGTAAAAAGATGCTCTAGATATTTCAGCAGAAATCACATCGCTATATTATCCGGAAAAAGCGATACCATATTGATACTGATAAAAAAATAAGCTTTTTTTTTAAACGCGTCGTTCTCCAAATAATTTTTTTTAAATCGGTGTTCTTTCTATCTCAAAAACTACTTAATCTATCCTTACCAAATTGTTCCTATATCATAGGTAAATTTCTAGGTTGTAACGTCGAAATTTTGTCCATTTTGTTGTTATAATGAATTTTGCATCATCAAATTAGTCAAATTTTAACCAAAAATTCGTCTTTTTTTACTTCTATTATCCAAAAATCGATAAACTGAACAATATTTCAACGTTGCAACCTAGACAAACTCATAAAATAATAAAATCTTTTTGTTTTTTTGTCAATAGATAGAACACCGCATTTTCCATCTTGGAAAATTAGATTTCATTTTCTTTATTTTTAATATTTTAGTATCAAATAAGATAATACTCTGCAAATGTTCAAATGTTTTACTATAGTATAATGTAATAATGTTATAAATGAACCATTAACCATTTATAGTCCATTTCAAATCTATACTTGATGCTGTTGATTTCTATTTTAAATAGGTACCCCATAATCAATTTAGACGTAGTTCTATCCAATTTTCAAGACTTTGTATCTGAAAATTAATTTCTCATTTCCAAAATAACGAATTAATATATTTTATGTACTTTTTTAGAGACAATGAGAAAATATCCTCCTATACCTTTCCTGGACAGGATGCCTTTGTCTGACTACAAACTAGAGGGTACTGATTTGGTAGTCAAAAAGAATATGACAGTAGTAATACCATTCTTTGCACTTCATAGAGACGACAACCATTTTCCTAATTCTGAAGTATACGATCCAGAAAGATTTGCAGAAGATATACCATCAGAAGGCCTATATTACATACCGTTTGGAGCAGGCCCCAGAGCTTGTATAGGTATAGATTTTTTAGTTTTATATTCTAATATTTTAAATGAACATTTAAAACTAGTTTTACATGGATACTTTGCGTATTATCCAAATTGGCTGGATAAAAGGCGAAGGAGATTAATAAGTTCGTGATTGATCCGGGTTATTCTAGATATATTCAATGCCAAATGGATAAAGCAGTACATTTTAAACTTTGGCATTAATAACACTATTTACTTTAAAAGTTTATTTTGTTTCTTTTCTTTAACAAGAATATACCACAGAATTATTGTCAAAATATAATAACTAATTATTGAGAACTTGATATAACTAACAGTGATACAAATCATATTTGGGTCAACAAAAGCTACAAAACTAGCAAATGCCCATCCCATATTGCCTTTCGCTGGTGGCAGTACTTTGTTTTGGGCATAAATGCACTGCTGGAAGCACAAACCTTTCCTAAGCCTTAGAGGACATCGAGGTTGATATTGCTGCAAAAGGCTAGGGAAAAGTATCGCCCAATCTGTCTTATTCCATGCATTAGTAAGCTGTATAAAAGGATTCTGCGAGTACGCATAGATGACATGATTGAGAAGTCAGATGGTTTATCTCGGAGGCAATTAGGTTTTTGGAAAGGGAAAAGCACGATTGATGCAATCATGAGCGTACTCGAAGTATTGCGCAACAGAGAGGATGAACATCGCTGGGCGGCCCTGCTGTTGTTTGATCTTAATAAAGGCCCTGATCGACAGGCGAGTAAAACCGCGGTTTTGTGGCTCGTCGGTAAAGCTCCTCAGTGTATCATTGCAATACCGCGGTTTTATATACCTACGAGCCTGGCTCGCAGCTCGTCAGTTTGTTTTATTTTTTACTTGGCTCGTCGTTTAAAACCGCGCGTGTATCAGGGGTGGCGAGCTAAACCGGCAGTTTTTGGCGACCATTGAAGTGAACAGATGTAGTATGCTATGGCGAGGTAACACAAAACTTCAGTTGTTCACGATATGTTGGCTCTAGACGGTTGACACGACTGTTTTACTCGCTAGTCGATCAGCACCAACGAGCCGCGAGTAAAACCGTCGATCTTAAAACCGCGGTATTATGGCTCGTTCGTCGATCACCCACTTAATGCATTCAATATGCTGCAGTGGAACGAGGTAATGAAGGCAATGAAGGACGAAGAATGTCCTGATTACCTGATGAATGTGGTGGCGGAGTATCTGTCTATCTTGGGCTCGAGGCTATAGAACCTGGTATATGCACTGTGAATACGGAGAGGGTACAACCCTCTTTATATTCTCGGATGACCTCGCTGTACTGGTAGTGGTCCAGAATAAGCCAGATCTCAAATACCAGGTTCATAACCCAGGCCGCGTCGTAAAGAAATGGATGACACAGCATGGACTGAAACTTGCGGCAGATATAATAAAAATAAAAAAATAAAAATAAAAATAAAAACATTTATTGCCATACCATAATGAAATACATGTCAAAATTGATATCTTAGCCTCCTTTCTTCTGCGTTCCGCTCTTGCACCGCCAGCATTTGAATCTGCTTCCTCTCGGTTCCTGGATTTTTCTGGGTGGTGTCCTCGTCTGCTTCTGTAGGTACTGTTTCGGCAAACGTACCTACTTCCCTGCATGTCTGGCTTCTAGTCGCTGATCAGGTGGTTGATCAGTCGATGTGTGGATCGGTGTATCCTCTGGATCCTGTTTTTCTCGAGGATATCCCTGGTCTTTCGAAGTCTTCTTGTGGCCTGGTTGAAGAACCACCTGGTTCTATTCTCGGCCACCTTCCTCAGTGGCGTGTATCCTAATTTATTCCTGATGGTGGCATTGGTAACTTTATCCTCCCATGATGTTCCGTCAATGATTCGGTAGCATGAGGTCTCAGTTGCTTCTAACTTTTTCCAGTTGGATTCCACAATGGAGCTCCAGACTGGTACAGCATACAGAATCACCGACCTAACATATGCTTGGTAGAGTTGTATCTTCTTCGCCTTTGACAGTGGACTGGACCTAAAAATGAAAGGAAGTATTAGTTTTTTAGCAGCATTTGCTTTTACCTTTGTTTTTTGTGTATGCACCCGGAAATTGAGTCTTCTGTCGAGATGGACACCTAAGTATTTGACCGTCTCTGATACCTGAATTCTGTTGCCGCCTACTGTGATCTCGTTCTATGGTGGTTGTTTTTCCTGGGTGAATATGATGAACTGCGTCTTTTCTGCGTTGATTTTGATTTTCCATTTTTCCGTGAAGTCCGTGATTTTTTCTAAGTGGTACTCCATGTCATCTATGATTCTTCTTTCGCCTTTTCCGGATGCATACACTGCTGTGTCGTCTGCATACAGGGCTGTGGAAGTCCTAGGATCTGTTGGAAGATCTGAAACAAAAATGTTATATAATATAGGTGATAAAATGCTGCCCTGAGGCATTCCTTCCTAGATTTGTTATATCGTTGACATCTTTTGGTCAGCTGAAACTTGAAAAGTTCTATTAGATAAATGAATATCACAAATATTAATTAAATAGTGCGAAAGTCTAGCCTTGTCCATCTTGTAGATTAATGCCTTCTTCCAAACCGTGTCGTATGCTTTTTCTATGTCCAGTATGGCTAATCCTGTCTTCTGTTTCCTGTTAAATTTTATCTTCGCATCGCTGATTATTCTTGCTAGTTGGAGTTCGCAGTTTCTTCCTTTTCTGAATCCGAACTGGTCTTCTTGGATGATTCCTCTTCTTTCTGTGTGTTTCACCAGTCTCTTGTAGATAATTTTTTCCAAAAATTTTCCCATCGATTCCAGGAGTGATATGGGTCTGTAGCTTTCTGGTCTTCTTCCATCTTTCCTTGGCTTCAGAAGAGGTATGATCTTGGCGTGTTTCCAGTCGTTCGGAAAATGTCCTTTTTCTAGGCAGTATTTGAAGACATAGTACAGCTGTACTATGATCTTCTTCGGGAGTTTCTTGAGGGTGATGTTGTGGATTCCTTCTTGTTCTGGTGCTCTGCTTCCTTTCAGCTTCCTGATGATTTTTGCAACTTCGCTTGGGCTGGTATATTCTTCCTCGTCTATTTGGAACTCGCTTCTTCTTTTGATCCTGTTGTATTCTTCTTCGACTTGCCTCCTTGTTCTTGCATCCGACATATCCTGGTTTTGTCTGTGTGTGGCTGCCATCTTCCTTGATATTGCATCTACTTTTCCTTGGGTTTCGTAGTGTGTTCCCTCGTTGTCTATGATTTGTGGCATCTTTTGTTTCCCTCTTCTTCTTGCCTTTAACATTTTCAAAACGTTTCCATGGTTTTCTTCAGCTCTTCTGATGTTGTTGTACCATTGATTTTCAGTAAGACTTCTCAGTCTTACTCTTATTTCTTCAGATAGGATGTCTTCGTATTCCTTGAATTCCTGTCTTCTGGTCCTTTGGAATGCTATTCTGGCTTTGTTTCTGTCCTTGATGATGTTCTGAAGTTCTGCTGGGATGACCAGGCCTCTGTTGTTCGTCATGGATTTTGGGATGTTGGCTTCCATGGCACCTTGAATTCTTCTTGTAATTTCTTCTATTTTTTCTTCTACTTCTGCTATTGATTGGAACTCTCTCTTCATTTCCATTTGGTTGAGCTGTCTTCTGTAGTTAGGCCAGTTAGCATCTTTCCATCTCCATCTTTCCACTGGTTCTATCCTTGGCAAGTCGACTCTTGATGTCATTCTTCCTATTACTGGTTTGTGATCCGAACTGTATTCGAAGTAGGACCTGACGTCTTACATAATTACATCTTTGGTGATGAAAAGTGTTGAGTTGTTTTGTCCTCTTATTGGGTTGATTCTTGTCATTTCTCGCGGCAGAGAAAACCGAAGCCATTATTCTGACAGAAACAAGGAACAGGCAAAGTATTGCATCATATAGGAGTGATATTGGACCAGAGTAGACAATGAAGGGATCACGTGCGGTAGGTGATCCGGAATGCTGCGAATAGAACGGTTGCATTGGGGAGGGTGATGCGCAATATTGAGGGACCCAAATCCTAAAGAAGGAGGGTCTTACATGGCGTTGTACAGTCGATCGTCCTCTAAGCGGCACCTATAGCGAGGCGGTCGAGATAACGACCTATAGGAGGCTAAAACTAAATCTTATGGTATACCAATCAACCATGAGATACCAACCAATGTCAGGCGCATATCAACAATAAGCTAGTACTGCATGATACCTCCGAGAAAGATCTTAACTACATAAATAATTGGTCTAACTGGTAAGCTGGTTTTGTATGTTTTCAATAAAATTGATAGTGTGTAAAATAATTTAATATTTAAGCTAAGTATACTTTCGACATAATAAATGTCATCATCAGAGCTATCCTAAAATAACGTTAAGTTAAGTAAATTTTTTATATAAAATATAATGATAGAAAAAACTTACGTCAATTAGGCAATAAATACTTCATAGACGTTACTTCATTGCCTAATTGACGTAAGTTTTTTCTATCATTGTATTTTATATAAAAAATTTACTTAACTTAACGGTATTTTAGGATAGCTCTGATGATGACATTTATTATGTCGAAAGTATACTTAGCTTAAATATTAAATTATTTTACACACTATCAATTTTATTGAAAACATACAAAACCAGCTTACCAGTTAGACCTATTTAGAAGTGTGTACAAGTCTTACAGTCTTTTTCAATACATAAATAATTGCATCATAAACGTCTTATAAGAAAGTCCCAAGTGCACTATCCTAAAAAACAAAAGCGATAAGAATGCAGACAGATACACACTCAGTAAAAAAATTAAAGTGTTTCGAAATCAATCAGAAGAGATTTATAAAAAATATACAACCGATAATATTAAACGCACTATAATGGGAAATAACAGCCTAAAAGTTCTATGTAGAAAGCTAACAAATTTAAAATGCGAAATTCATAAATTAAAAAACAAGCAAAATGAAATAATATCACGTAAATAGGAGTTAATGCAGGTCGTCGATTCAAGAGTTTTACAAGGAATTATATGGAAGTAGACGAGAAGATCAAACAGGA